GAAACATGTGGTAGATTCTGTTGTTGTTTACAAACCAAAGAAATGAGAGATTATTTTTGTTTAGTTTTTACTGAATATTTGAAGGCAAACTATAAAACTATATCACTTATTTTGTTGCAATTCTGTGTTCATAAATTAACAATATATATATTTTTTTTTTACTAATTTGTCTTATCGTGAAGAATATTGTTATCGCAAAAACATCCTGAGATATTGTGATTTTATTTTAGGGCCTTATCATCCATACCTCCAGCATAAATTCTGAGTCGCGTTAACCAGCCTTAAACTAAATGACTTAACAACCGCTTTCAGTGTCACAAACAAATGTCCAATGTTGGAATGAACTTGTCTTTTTCTCGTCTTAACGTTCTGACAGAAACACGTTTAATATTATTCTAAGTTTTTAGTCTTGGCTCATGCAAATACTTAAGTTTAATGACATGAACACTGTCGACAAATAGCTGCGCTCTATTCAGCATTGAACATGAGGGGACAGCATGAAGGTGCAAGACTGAACTAGTCTTGGTTCTCTTGTACTGTGGAAGAGGAGGAGAAACTGGTGGAGTTGTGGAGTGAACAAGAGTCGATGTGTCTGATCTAGCAGCTCTTATTTTAGTGAGGAAAATTTTCAGGAAACGGTTTGCTTCTTAATCCTACAGTCATCTCCCACTAAAATAGTGCAGCTAACCAAAGGAGGCTGGCGGCGAGTTCAGGCAACAAAATCTAAAATGCAAAGCTTGTATGCAAATCCAGTTTATCATTATGTGTTATACTGATGCGGAATTGACAAGAAAACTGTCGACATATGATGCCTTTTTTCTTGTGTGTCTAAAGTTACGTATTTCGGCAGATAGAAGGATTTGTTAATATGTCATATTTCTAAAAGGGAGTTTGGTGTTACGTTTTCCACCAGGAGGAGGATGGCAAATAATGTAAAAAAAAGTGACCCTGCAAGATCCCCAGGCTTTGCAAAACCTTATCGTGTGTGACTAAAAACTCACATAGTGCATTTGACTTTTGATGATTTGAATATGGGGACTTGTAGGACTTGACTTGGTGCACATAGCCATCCCGTGTGAGGTCTATTGATGTTGCCCGGTATAAACTCTAGGTATATTTATTTTAGAAGATGTCAAACTGTTAATCTGTCTTCAAACCTCATCTTGCTAAAGTATAAATCATTTGAATTTTGAAGCCTATCCGTGCTCTTCTGTCTTTGTCACTCTGAGTGGGTGGTAATCAGCGTGTCCAACACCTTAATCACAAGATTAGTCATTTGTTATCTGCCACTGTGTTTGCCAAGTGTCTTTCAATCTTGCGGCTACTTTTGGCAAATGATGGACTAATACCCGGCCTAACTGAAAGTGTGTCCTGCCACATTGTGTTACACCCACAGTTATCCCTGGGATTTCCTCTCAACGACTCCTTAATTTATCAGCTCTGGCAACAGTTCCTTTTTTCTCACCTGAGGGATTACTTTACCAAACATCAGCACACCTACAGAGGTGTGTGACTTCCCAACTGAAAACACTTAACAGGAGTGTGTGTGTGCGTACACATTGCGTAATACAATCAAGACAAACTGAAAACTTTCTGTCTGTGAAAGTTAGTCTAATGTAAAGGTCTTTCTACAGCTTTTTGGGATGTTGCTGGGAAAGTTAAGAGTGTGTGTGTGTGTGTGTGTGTGTGTGTGTGTATGTAGCGGGGTACCTGCAGCAGAGCGTGTTGTGTGAAATCCCCTCAGAGGGGAATGGCAGCTCCACACCCAGCCAGCATGGGCCAGGGATTTGCATGGGCAACGGGCCACACTGTCACTGATCCGCTTTTAATTGGGTGTGACGATGAGAACTTTGGAGCCTGCGGGGGGAGGTGGGGGCTGGTGGTGTGAGTTGTCCTAGGGTGGGAGGGTTTGGGTTTATGTAGGGAGAAGTCTGTGTCATTTACAGTAATTTTATAATCCAGTTCAACAAGTCATTCCAATCATTATGAGTTATTATTTTCAAAGGTGAACGGTTGTAAATTTAATCCAGAACGTCTATAAATGTGTTTTTGATTCTCTCATTACATGAAGGGAATTATACAGTTTGTTTTAATCTTCTAAACATGTTTATGTTTTGACAAAAGTGCTCTATTTTTCTTCACCTTTAACCATGACTCTAGTGATGGCAGTGTCATGTTGTCATTTGGTTGTTGGTCCACTTCTTTAGTCCATAATGAAATATCTCAGCAACCTTTTGATGGATTGCCATGAGAATTTATTCAAAGATTCATGGTACTCAGAGGATGGATCCAACGAGTTTGATGACCCTCTGTGTATGGCTGACAGTTGATGAAATTTGGTGCACATACTCATGGTACCCAGAAGATGAATTGCAATAACTTCATTGATCTCTTTTAGATTTTTCTTATGTTTATGTTCCCTAAAATGTCTGACCTTGACTATACTGACTTGTGCCTGAGCAAAGTTTGTCAATAGAGAGGTGTTTTCACATTCCCCTACTGAAGAGCGCGATGTTTGTGCTGTTCTTAAAATCTAAGATCACCGTACAAGGGGCAAACTAGATTAGGTACAACACTAGAGCTGGGTATTATTTAAAATATTATGATACCAGTACCCTCAAAGTGATACAGGTTGATACCAATAAAGTACTTTGTTTGATTACTACATGAATGGTGTGTAGTATTAGCCTGGAAATCCAGACCCAAATCTAGAAAGATTTAGGGTCTGGCTATGAGTAATGAAAATGGCCCAACTCGAGGGGCGGCACCAAGCATGCATTTGAAAATATCACTGCACGCAACTGGATAACACTACGACCAATCAGAACAATACACAGGGTGACGTATACAAAAAGCTACCAGAGGAGCTAACTGGTAGATTAGACTCTTGCTGTATCCGGTTGGCAAAACAGCAAAAATCTCCTTCTTGCAAAGGAAAGATTCGGGCGCCGTCTTCTGTTCCTCTCTTAGAGAAAAAAGCCAAGTCTAACTCGTTCATTGTAGCGGCCAAAGCCGTTTCAAACAACTGGTGTTCATCCGTAGCCATCTTGCAATGTTTACTGACTGATTCCGGACTTTGTCGTCGCAGCGCTGTCGTCATCTGTTTAGCTCGCCTCTGGCCTGCCTATATCAGCTACACCGATGTGATTGGTGCAGCTCGGCTACAAGAGCATGGGTAATGAGCATCATTACTGATTGCCAGAGTGACTCGCTGAGCAAATTCAAATTGTGCTCTTGCGAGAACCAGGGTTATGTAGTATAACTATTCTTTCAAACATTCTGGCGGCACTTTGGCACGCTGAACTGCCAGCTCCGTCAAATACACTGCAGTCGACATCACCATACCACAGAATTGTTTGGGTTGTAACGTTAGATGCTGCCGCTGGAGTGTGAGCTCCGTGCCAGAGACAGAGCCCACCCAGCCACAACCACACAGTGACAGGGCTAACTGTTAGCATCACAAATCTCTTAATACCTAACGGTTATTAAGAGATTTAACAGCAGAGTTGAGTCGCTTCATTGTCAGTGTGAGTTTGTTGGGGCAGTTTAACGGCTTGGTGTTGGATGTTAGCCACTGCTGCAGAGTTAGCTCGTGCTAACAGGGCAGATGTTGAACTCACTGTTGCTGCGAGGAGAATGGCTCTGGAGATGGCAGAAACAAAAAGGCCAGGATGGTCTGCAATCAGACACCTGGCGCAAAAAGGATCAACTGTAGGTATCATTTGACTGGAGATGTTTCTAAAACGTCTACACTGACGCTCAAACATAGATGGCTGAGTCTCTCTGATGTTTCCTCTAATGCTAACACTAGCCATGTTGATGGACAACGTTCTTTCAGCAGTCAGCCTAGCATGAGCAGCGGTGGTGAGTGGTCAGTGGTGCAAAGGCTAGATCCATAATTTCCCAAAGAAGGAGAATGAGTAGATCTACTGCCAGCCCCCTTTATTTTTTTTAAATGTATTTTTTTGTGTGTGTGGGAAAACCATGTGAGACAAAATTTTGGTAATAGCAGAGTATTTTTTACATACTTTAAAACATCGGTTCCCAACGGGAGGGTCACGGTCCATTTTGAATGCACCGCAAGTGACTCGCAAACGTATCAAGTCTGTAAAAAAACGCACTTTATTTTGAAGTACAGTAAATATCTGGAGCAGTGCAGTGCAGTTAACTATCTCGACGACATGACCAAATGCAAAGATGATGCTGAATGTGTCCACTGTGTGGACCCTGAACTAATGCCTTAGGAGAAATATGGACCCTGTGGCTGGACCAGTTGGGAACCACTGGTTTAAAACGTGTCTGGAAGGAGCCTTTTACTTTTTATTTATTTGCTGAAATGAGTTTCCGCTATAGAATAGCTGGGCTCACATATAGAGACAGGATAAGAAGCTCAGACATCTGAGAGCTCAAAGTAGAAGAAGAAGCCAGTTGAGGTGGTTTGGGCATTCAATCAGGATGCCACCAGGGCGTCTTCCTTTGGAGGATTTCCAGGCACATCTAACTGGTAGGAGACCCTGGGGTAGACCCAAAACACACTGGGGAGATTATATAACTCATCTGGCCTGGGAACACCTCAGGATCCCCTGGAGGAGCTGGAAAAAGTTGCTGGGGAGAGATAGGTCTGGAATACCTTGCTTAGTCTGCTACCATGGTTAAACAGATGGATTTTATTTCTGAATATAAGATGTAGGTATTTGTCTGCTTATTGTTAGCAGATTCACCGAGGCGAAAGCAAACCTGTTTGACAGAAGCTGTATCAATATTTGTTGTGTGCTACAGCACCGCAGGATATTTTTCTAGTCTTCCAGACTTTGCTGTCTCCCCCTGCAGAGCTGTCTCCAGGCCTGGCAGCGCTGACAGTGGGCTGTGACTCTGGGAATCTGGGCTCCCTGTCCCGCGTCCAGCTGCTCCTCTTGGATCGACTGGAGCCAGACACCGTGCCGAGTCCCTTCGATCAGGACGAGGAGCTCTCACCAGAGCAGGACTGGTCTGATCTGAGGATGCCGTATGATGCAGGCTCAACTGCAGCAGGTACAGCTCTTCGTGAAAGAGATGCATAAACAAATTTCGAGGAGTATATAATAATGTATGAATGAAAGTGTCTTTTCCCTGAAACATGATAAATGATTAAAGCAACAAATTCACCTGAAACACAATGAAAGAAACATGAACAAACATGATGAAAATGCACTTCTTATAGCAGAATAAATATCCATTTCCTCAGTAAAACAAAGCGTTTGCTGCCAAGTTTAACAACTTACAATAAAATGAGAGGAAGAGATGCTCATGGTAAAGTGAAGAAAAGCATCGTATGCTTTCAACATTCAAACTTGGCTCCTCCTTTCTGCTATGCTTACTCTGTCACCTACCTGTCTAACACGAAACAAGCTAATTACTCATCACTCTTCATCTCCATCCTCTCCTTCAGCACCCACCAATGAAAGTGAAAGTCAGCTCCAGATTCACTCTTGTTTTGAAATGAGCTTTGTCCCCTTGGCATTTCACCTCACTATGCTTACATTATTTATGTGCTGTTTCCATATTTTCCCTAGCTTCCTCCTGAATGCATGCTGCTACTACCTAGTCACTATAAGGGATGGGCATTTTAAGTAATTACCATATTCAAGTACCTGCATTTAATCATTATTGAGTACTTGCAAAAAAAAAAAAAAAAAATCTAATGTCAAAGTGGGACTGTAAATTGGCTAAAAACAGAAAGCAAGTGCAATTTGATATTGGTTTATTGAACAACTAGGCTTCCATTAGTTCATTAAACTATGCCTTGCTAGCATGAGCTAATACAGCAGCAGCTAACATCCGGCACCGAGCCATTAAAAACTCACACCGACACCAAAACGACTTGACTGTGCTGTTGAACCCATAAATAATCGGTATGGAACATTAGCCGTGTGATGCTAACAGTTAGCCTTGTGACTGTGGGTGAGTGTGTGCAGGCAGACTCTCACTAGCCTTTTTTAGATATAATAGGAATTGTGCAAATTTGCAGGAAAGCCCAATCAGTCTTTCTTCAGCATTGGCAGTATTAAAACAAAACTGGGGAGTGCAGCAAAATGCCGCCTACCTACTTTTGTTTGTACAGAATGCGCCTTTTTCGGGGCAATGGGGGGCGTGAGCAAGTAACAAAACGTGTAGCTCAGCGTAAACAGTGACGTGAGAGGGAAGCCGCGGCTGGTCAGGTGGCGATAGTCAGGCGCCAATTCTCTCATAAATCGGCCCGTCCTTCACCGTCCCCGTCATCTGACGGTTAATGGCCTCTTCGTTTGCGAGGACAAGGAGGGCACGCAATTCCTTGTCTCCTCAGTTGCTCATCTTTACAGTGTCTGTCAGGTTTGCGTTTCCCTCTTGCTACTAGCTGCTCTCAGCTGTTTCCTGTTTATCCACCGTCAGTGGCTCACACGTGCAGTGTCATCAACAGCTCCTCCCACAAGTCATCAACAGCCCCTCCCGTTGCGGAGGTCACCTCGGTCTGTTTAAACTAAAAGTGTTCCACCAATATGTCTACCCTACGAGGAGGAAAATTGGGCACCTCGGATCAACTCGCCAATCTGGCTCTGTGTGTCTAAACGCTCGCAGCTTGCCGGCAAAACGGCCCAACATTCGCTGAAAATCTGGCAGTGTAAAAGGGGCTACTGTCTGTCTCAGGCATGGAGCTCACACCCCTGCAGCAGCAACAGCTGGAAATGGAGGCCTTTAGTGAAGCAATACACTGCACGCAGCTCTACAGTGAAATAAGATTTTTATCCATTTTAAAAAGTTAAAAAAATAAAATAGAAAAACCATGTTAACATGTGGGAAGATAACTCGATTGCAATCGAGGACTCCCTATTTACTATGTCTTTATAAAGTCCCGACCTCACCTGTGAGCTGTACTCATGAACGTCCTGAACACAGCAAAATAATAACAACATAAATATATGCAGGCAGCGGGCAGAGTCTCTGCAGAGAAATACACCACCACATGTTTAGAGTGGGTCATAGGTGATGACTGAGAGGGGTTATTTCTGTATGAGTTTTTCAGGAAAGTCCTGCATAGTATGCCTTTGATGCCAGGATTAATCATAATCCAGTAAAAACATCCCAACACACTCGATACAATCAGCTTGTTAATGCCAGGAGCCAAAAGAGGAAGTTAACACTCGAAAGACAAACTTTGAGGCAATGTCGTGTTTCCTTTCTGACTGTAGTGTAAACTTCTTTAGTCAGTCAACAAGTATCCAAAGTGTCTGTGATTTATTAGTGATCGTGTGAAATCATGGCTTGTGATTTGTTTGTAAATGTATTTATGAATTTAATTGTGACTGACAGGCAATCTCAGTTGACTGAGCATAAACCTCCTGCTCTGACAAATCTTTCCAACAGTTTGAATGAGATCGTTTGATAAGCAAAAACCGTCACTTCAATAACAGGGAGCAGTCAGACAGGTGTGTGTGTGTGTGTGTGTGCGGGAAAAACACAAAACTGTAGGTGTGTTTTCTCCGTCCGCAGCCGGCCTTGAGAGTAAGCGATGCTTTTATGGTGCTGAGCGGCTTCTCTTTTAATGAGCAGTGATACCGCCTCTCATCTGCTCCCAGGCATGCCGCAGCGAGCTCTTAACTGCTTTTCCCCGAAGGTGTGGCAGCTCAGAGGAAAGGTTTATAGGGATATCAGGATGTGCCATATTAATAAAGATCAAACCGCTAGAGTGGATCATTAACTGGGAAAGTCCGACTAAGATAGCAGGAGACACTCAGGACGGAGCAGTGCATACATAACAATGGATAAGAAACTGAGACGAGCATGTGCGGAAAACTCATTCAGTCTCGCGCCTGTTGTTTATAGTCTGATAACATGTCGCGGAGTGTGATAAGGACTGTAGACGTTTAAAGTTTACAAAGGAAAATCTTCCCGAAGGCTCTTCAGCTTCATGATTAAAACAGGCGCTGATTGAATACGCCGCCTGCAAACTGTGATTGGTGTATCAGTCACTCACCATGCGTCACAATGAATTTGTGAAGAAAATTTTGGGGTCTGCATTTCACAACAGCAAATTTAATTTATACAAACTCACACAACTTCTACATTATAATCCAAGTCACATTTATTAACTATTGAAACAATTCCACATGTAGATAGTGTAACCAGGGCATGTCCAGGGATGCTGCTTGGCCGTGCATCAGTGTTTGAACTGTCTTAAAGCGTGAAGTTTGGGACCCCCAGTGGCTCAGTGGTCCCATGTGTCCTTGCAGCAGCCATGGGTAGATTCCAGCCTGAGGCCCTTTGCATGTCATTCCCTCTCTCGCTCTCCCCATTTACTCCTAAATACTCTGCTGTCAAATAAAGGCAAAAGATAATGTTAAAGAACAATCATAAAGTTTTAGTGAAAATGCATGTGTTTGGGATGTGCCGAGCTGAGTGTACGACTGGATTAATGAGACTTGGATTTTACTGAACAGATGTTTTGATGTAGCTTTACTGTTGTTAGACACTTTCCCCTTTTGCTTCAGTTCATAAATAACGCTCGTCTTATTTGGATTCTCCGCTCTCAAGTAATTGTTGTACATGTGGTCATTTTACTGATGAAGTTTTCTTTTAACGTGTGATATCACAGTCTGTTCTGTGTTGGGTGAAGGCCAAGTGTGTCACTGTGCTTCAAATTAAGTGCCTGTCAGACGGCTGAGCTGCATCTAAAACGCTCTCTCCATACCTTTCCAACATAGGAAGATGTTGTCGGACACTCTGGGCAAATTAAGTTTCATTTGCATCACTTTCTACTGAATAAATAATGCACATGAAAGCTGTTAACTGCATGGTCTGTGGATTATTGAAAGAAAGAGGGACACAAAAAGAGGTGTTGCTGTTGTGTTGGCATGGCTGCATAAATCTCAGAGGCAGATATCTCAAAATCTGAACAGACAAAAAAAAATCTATCTGCAGATTTCACCTGAGGTGAGTGAGGAGATGTTTTTGTAATGTTGGATGAATCAGCAAAAGATAAGTATGATAACCACAGTGGTCTTGTTTTCAGTATCCATGCATCTGTGCCACTGATGTTTACAACAAGAGAAAATCTGTCTGAGTTTGCTGGAAGCTTGTCTTTCCTCTCCCTGTGTCTCTAGAACAATGTTTGCACCTGGCACGTTTCTGTAGACAGGTGCTCCTCCGGGTTTTGTTGCTCTATTTTTTGCCATTATTTGCTCAAAGGTTAAGAGCCATAATTGGAACTAATACACTACATTACTCATATCTGTGCACACACACTCAAGTACAAAAGAGAAGTGCGTGTAAGTGTGCGCCGGAGGCTAACACTTGTGCACACACATGCACGGGCACACATGTCTGCCTGCCTGCCTGCACCGCCGCTGCAAACACACAATTGCTTCCTCTGCTTTCAGTCTGACGCTGTGTCCTGTGTGGTTTTGTCAGGTGTTCTGAGGCCCCTCACAGCTGGCAGCATCTCTGAAAGGTGCGACTCCGCAGGGAAAGTCCAGGAGAACAAATCGGTGAGTGCCGCTACCTCTTGTGAACCCGCTTTTCACTCTCTACCCCCCTCCTCCGTTCATCTATCAGATTTCCTCCAAAGGCAGGACCGTGCCTTGTCGTGAGCAAACACTAGACCTTCAAGAATCAACTCCTATCAGACAATAACCCCGAACCTGGCGCACACAGTCACCCTCCCACACAAAGACCCCCTTTTTACAAACTTGAACTGGCATGCATTTATAACTGTCATTCCAGCAAGACAAGCCAAATTGTTGTTGATAATTGAGACACAATAAAACAGAGGGCACGCGGCGTGCAGCAGGTGTGTGGTTAATCAGTCACGGCGGCAGGAGGGGGGGCCTGACTGTACAGGAGCAGGCAGGCTTTTACACCAGCTCATTGCTCTGTCGCAGGGGGGTACACTCGGCTAAATGCCCAGCGCGGTGGGATTCTTTCAGAGGATGCACCACCACTAGGATCAGACAGGGGTTGAGGGGTGAGGGGTCAGGGGGGCGTAAACAGGGCTTGTGCATGCTGGGCTGCAGTGGAATGGATGCAGGTGTTCCACGTGATCTACGATTAATCTCCCCTTTATGACGAATGAGAGAGGGCCCCTGAAAAGCATGAATGAGACTCATAAGCCCCCTGCAATTATGCCAAACCACAATGACGAGCTGAAGTGCTCAGAGTAGGATTCATGCGACCATTTGCATAATGCACCTCACTAAACCAAGTATCCACACGCTGGATTATTTATAAAGAGGAGACGATGATAAAGCAGTGGTATGTTTGGAGCTGAGAGGAGGGGAAAGCTGCAGGTTCTGTGTTAGGAATATTTTTAATTACTGTAAATTCCCATTTGGAAGTTTGTTTATAGTGATACCTTTAATGTTCTCTGACAGAGGAACTCAGGGGTTTTAAAGGAATAGTTTGACATGTAGGGAAATATACTTGGTTGCTTTCTTGCAGAATCAGATGAGAATATTAATATCTGTCCAATCCATTCCTGGAGTCTTATCGTTGTTGTGAGGTTGCCAGGTAAGACTCCAGGAAATCACAGTAGAAATACTTGGGGCACAGACGCGAATCATTATGTTTGGCGCCACACACTTGCAGCAGAGTGCATCCATTATAATCAACTAAACCGCTACACTGACCATGAAAGCCAAGCTTGACCTTGACTCAGTGCAGTTTTTACGCTACTGGTTCATTTTTTATGTATTTTTTTTTTGGGCCTCCAACGGGTAAAAGCTACAAAGTTCAGTTTATGTAGAAATGATTAGATACACACTCATTGTACCAGAGTCAATGCAGTGCAGTAGAGCAACCTTGAGGGTCAGTGCATCCTCTAGTTAAAATGACCCAGTTAATAGTTCAGCACCAGTTAATAGAGCCGATACGCTTTCAAACCCCGCGTAAACAATTGCATTATCACTCTACAAAACGTATTACACCAACAGTGAAGCTGGCAGCAACCACACGCTGCAAAGTTGGAGTGTGTGTAGCAGTTAAAAAAACCTAACACCCCTCAGCCACCTCCCTCCAGTCTTTATGCCAAGCTAAGCTAACTAGCTGCTGGTGGTCACTGTAATATCCAATATACAGAAATAGGTTAAATGTCAAACTATTCCTTTCTATTGATAATGAACGGTAAAGTTTCACTCTTACTGCGCCTGGTGCGCTGACGCTCCGAGAGTGTGGTTGTGGCCCTCTTAACCCTTCCAACAGCGACCCCTAAATTTAGAAATGTTCCAATTTGTGCCAGTGTGCACTCTGGCACTCTGAGTGGCTATTCACAAACTCACCCCATGTCAGAAATATCACAAATACCTGTTACCACACTATATAACCTTTATTTATTCTTGAGAGACATTGAGGTTACCCTCATTTTCAATGCAGTCGAGTTGACAAGCCATCAAAATATTGACAGTGATTACACAACAATATAAATTTAACAAGAAAGACAGCCATCTGAAACAATTACAATTAGAAACACAGTTATCTATGATTAAGGTCCTAAACTCTGTGAGTGAAGGGAGTGTGTCTAATTTCAGGATGTGTTGTAGTGTGTTCCAAGAGCTAGGAGCATCATAACAAAAGGCAGTCTTACCAATACCAGACTCGAGGAACTTTGAGTAGCAGCAATAAAGCTGAACGGATCATGTAAGTGCCTGAGTTCCACTCCAACAAATTTGCAATATGGTGGTAATTTGCCTAGAAAGGCCTTAAAAATATATAAAAGCCAGTGCCTCTTGCGCCTTTCCTCAAGAGAGGGCCAACCAGCTTTTTCATACAGAACACAGTGGTGAGTATCATATTTATCACCAGTTATAAATCTAAGGGCTGAATGATAGACCGATTCCAGACGATTCAAAGTTGAGGCAGCATCATGCCTATAGATAATATCACCATAATCCATAACAGACATAAACACTGCTTCAATTATTACTCTTCTTGAGAGCACTGGGAAACAAGATTTGTTTATGTACAGAAAGCCAATTTTTTTGTCGCAACTTTAAAATAAGTTCATTAATATGATATTTGAATGAGAAATCCTCATCTAGCCAGATGCCAAGATATTTGTACTCTGTGACTCTCTCGATTTCTGAGTGGTGTATAAATGCACACTATTGAAATCAATGTTTTTGGCTCGGGTAAACAACGTATTTTGTCTTATTTGCATTAAGAAGTAGTTTGTTTGATTAGAGATTCTTGAAAAGAATTAAAAGCAGTTTGCAAGTTATTGATGGCTGTCTGAACAGAATCCGCAGTACAATATAAAATTGTGTCATCTGCATAAAAATGGGCATGACAACCAGTTAAAGAAGGAAGAATATCATTAATATAGACAGTAAAAAGCAACGGACCCAGAACAGACCCTTGAGGTACACCTCCACTAACTGACAAAAAATCAGATTTTGTATGGCCAAGCTTAACACATTGACGCCTGTCAGTCAAGTAGCTCTGAAACCATGCGCATGCATTTTCATCCAACCCCACTGCATCTAATTTTCTCAAGAGCAAGTGATGATTGACTGTATCAAATGCTTTAGACAGAGCTATTAAAAGAGCAGCGCAGTGATATCTTCTGTCTAATGCCGATATGATGTCATTTGTCACCAGTGTGATTGCTGAAATTGTGCTATGGTTGGCCCTGAAACCAGACTGATAAGGATTTAAAAGTGAGTAGTCTGACATAAAAAGCTTAAGTTGAGAGCTGACCAAGGATTCCATTACTTTTGCCAGACAGGGTAGTTTGGAAATAGGGCGATAGTTGTTTAAGTTATCTCTAGCTCCACCTTTGTGTAAGGGGACCACATGAGCAGATTTCCATTGTATCGGAAATTTTCCACTTGAGATGGATAGATTAAAAATGTTTGTTAGTTGCTGCTGAAACGACTTGTGATGAATATTTAAATAAATAAATTATATATATATAATTTAAAGTGAAAATTCAAGTTTTTATTTGAGCTGCTGCCATGGTTCTGACTCTGGCCGGACTTAGACATAAACTCTGCAAGTTTATGTAGAGTGTAATCAAAGCCCTCATGAGCATCAGCCACCGCTGCTATGCAGAAGTGAATAGGAGCTGTGGCATATAGGGCTAGATTAAATATATATATCCTGTATACTATACTAAAACAGGCCCTCTAGAAGCCAAGACATCCAAAATACTTTCTTGACTTGCAACTAACAACAGACCAACTGCATCACATTGTCTTTGAACTGTTATTAAAGATTTATTCTGTGTTCTGCTTCCATGCAGGATGAGTCTGAAGGAGGTTCTGGGTCACCGTCTTCATGGATCATAGACCAGAGTCCATCATACAACATGTTCAGATCAGATTCTCCTTGCGTGTCCAATCACGGTATTGTATCCCTTTAGTCTACCTAAAAAATCATTATTTCTCTTGATCTGCGTGTGCTGCTATCACACATCACCTCCCTGTTAAACTGGCGTGCTCTCTAAAGAGCCTATAACGACAATAGTTAATCAATACAAGAGCCTGTCTTTGCCATTAGCGTCTGATCCGGTAAAAGCCCACTCAGTCCCTGTCAGCTCTGGTTTATGAGGAGCCATTGTCTCCTCACTGTCAGCGCTGTGTTTGGCGTTCCCTTGCCTCCGGTACACTTAAGCCCGCTAATCCTTGCTAGGGCCAGCTGGCTCGCGGTATCACCTTCACCTGTGTGGCAGGGTTGTGTACATTCATGAGTGATGGTTCAGAGGCAGCGCTTACTGTACCGACCACAAACACTGGAAAACTGGCAGCAGAAGACAGGAAAAAGGTTCGCTGAGGTTCTGTCACCTCATGGAGATGGAGAGCCACCCCTGAGCTATTAGCTGGCTCCTTTTACTCCCATCTTCATCTGATCACATCTGTCAGACTCTGATCATGTTCTGTTTTTTTTCTTGCTGGAAACTCACACAGCCAGTATCAGTCATTGTTCTACAACACTTATGATCCATGGTATGCCGTGTTCCTAGAGGATGTTGCAAATGCATCATGGTATCAGAGATTGATATGTCTGAGGGCTGAGCTGCAGCTAACCGTTCAGACCAAAGGTGACATATGTGACATGTCTTCCTAATCCAACATGGCTGATGTCAGGTGCCAAGACTGTAAAGTTTGATTATTTTCTCACTCAGTGTTTGTTGTGTTTTTGATGAAATACATCAGGAGTGGAGGAGGGTGGAGCTATAGATCAGGCTGGGCTGTGGCAATCAATCTATCTGAACATTTTGACATCAGTTTTTTCAAAACTTGTTATAATCAGCCTGAAAGTGCTTCTCAGTTGTTAAGCACCATCTGAAACACTCTCCCTCCACTCTTTGTAGACCTCAGAATTTGGGAAATGCATCCATTGATTTTTGTGAATGTTCAAAACTGACAAGCACTCACTTTATGCAGCGATTGATCCAGTGTGTGGAGGAGATAACACAGCAGGCAGGATTTGAAACCTTCTCTCAAACTCTCTTTTTTGTTCTTCACTCTGCTCCTTATGACACTTTTCTTGTCTACCACCCAGTGCAACACCTTGAATTCCTTTGAGAAAAGACTCTCTAAAGGTATGTTTCCAGTTATCTCTATTTATCTTGCCCCTCTCTGTGACTGCAGGCTTCTCTCCCCACCTATAACAATAACCAATTTTATGTCATCAGGCTTATCTAGAAACTAGAAACTAGGTGTTGTGGAGTAGCGATGTTCCTAACTGCTAATTTTCTCCACATTTAAACAAAAGTTTGAACTTTGACTCGTCCGCTCGTATAAAACTATGATAACATTCAGGAAACAGTCAAAATTAAGTAGAATTTAATCTATTAGGTTGCACGTTGTCCGGAAAAAAAATTACGTGAATTCTAAGAGCCATTTGAAATTGTAAATCACATTTGCAATAACCAACTTGTATTCTAAATGCTGCTGAAATATGTGTCACTTTGCACCGTGCATTTTGAACATTGCACCTTATTGTATGAAACATGACAACAACTCGCTAACTTGATTCAAAACAATGTCAAACCATGCATGTTTTACAAGATGCATTTTTTCCCACCTCGGTACTTGCAAGAGGAACCAACCAGTGTGTGCTTTTATGTAATTTAAACGTGTAGGCTACGTCAATAAGATAATGATTTTAATGATAAGTTTAACCGACTAGTATTTCTGGAGCTGACTAGCGATGGTAGCAACATTTAATCAATGAGTTAACCAATAGCACACATCCCTAGCGTGGAGTTCAAAAGAGGTTTACCAGGTACAGGGGATCCAAGGAAAAGGCAGTCTAAGGAAATGCTGTTGAGTTGCATTATGGGAACTGTAGGATTCTGCATTTTTTAATGTGTGAGCCATAGTGGGGGCTAATGTTGTGTGCGAAAATTCTCATAACGTTTGGTGTGGATACGGATTATTGCATCGTGTGACTTGTGTGAGTTTGAACGCCAGAATATTTTGTGTTGACTTGCTTCATATATGCAAATAATTCACATCATACACGCGTGAAACTGCTGAATAAACATCCATCAGTACGTCCTCGATGTGATATGTCCCCGGAGGAGCTTAATGGTCGCTGAAGTTCCAATTTTTTACCTCTCACGTATTTCATATCATTAACGTCGCGTTCATCGCGCTGCCCAGTGGGAATTTGCACCTAATCGTGTCTTCACGTTGATTTTACATGTAATTTTATCATGTGAATTGTTTTATTTGTGCCTGGTGTGAGCACAACATAAGAGTAAGGACATCTCTGCCTAAATACTCCATTTTTTTATGCCATGTTTCTCTGAAGACCCCAAAATGTATGTCCAGAAGTGCTCTCATAATGGGACGGGCTAGGTCCCTGGAACATATTGACATTTATATAGACACTTGTTGACCCTAATGTGCTGTATGTTACACGATGTCTTCTGTGACCCGTCTCTGCAACAAGGACTGAGTTTTTTTATGATTTAGGAGCTTTTTCATTACAAAGAAAGATTGATTTATCAGCTTGTTAAATGTACACAGTGTGCATCCATTGTCACAGCACACAATGTCTGAAATTCCCTCCAGCTTTAAAATTTTTAGCTCCTTACACATTTTACGACAAGGTTTTCTTCGTTTAACTGCCCCATAAGAATAAGGCAAACTCAACTAATGAAAGAAGATGTCATCCAGAGGATCCTCAGTGATGGCTTGTGTGCTCTGACCTTTTGGAGGCCAAAGGCATGGTCACACTCAGGGGGAGGACGAAGGGGAGGGGGGTCATCAGCAGGGCGTGGAGGGGTCACGCCTGGGGTCGCACAGTCTGTAAAAGATGCCCAGTGTGTGGCATGTCTTTGTGTGGATAGGTGAGATTTGGTTACCCTGGAGGTGTGAGCAGTTCAACTCTTTGAATGGGGCTCCGCAGTAATGGACGAAATGACCCCATTATGACTCAGTGTCTATGAGACAGTTGAGAAAATGGGCCTGAGACACCATTTGCATCTGGAATAGATGATCGCTTCACACGACCAACTGTTGATTTAGATTTAGGGAATATAGGTTGAAAATATAGTGTGTAGAGTAAGAAAAATAATCTGAAGCAGCTCTGAAATATAACAATCATTTAAGTTATTTATCAAGCAGAATGCATTTGCTTTTCTGTTTATTTTTAACTTCTAAACTGCTCTAAACTTTTTTTTTTAAATCAAATATGAAGGTGCGCACTTAGTAACATCCCACAGAGGATTATCACCCAACTTTGCAGTTCCCCGCAGCGCCATAGAGCTTTTTTTAGTGTCTTTCAGCTCATTGTTTTGGTTTCCTTACTTGCAGCTTTACTGTTTTGGTTCAGCCTCAGCACTCTTAGGCCCTGTGTCCACATAGCGCCTTTTTCTGAGCGCCAGAAGAAGGCCAGCATCTTTTTTCAATTGTTCCCAATGAGGAGAGAGCGTCTGCAGCCGCATGCTAACCCTTTTTCGTGTGTCCGCTCCGAGCGTTTTGAGTTGAAAATCTCTGAACCTCAGCTTAGTTTGGGTGGGAAAAGAAACTCTACGTGCTCAACACCAAATGGCAGACAAAGTTAGCAACTAGCAGGTGAAACTAGCTGCTACAAAGCCAGATATATTTATCTCAGGAGTCAGTGAAGAGTAATGGTGGACAGAAACATGAGTCCTAGTGAGTCCTAGTGAGTGCTGTATGTGTAAAAGGCGAAGGTCACCAAAACAACTTGCCAGTGTTGTGTTTACAGCTTTTGTCAAATAATTTTGTCAAACCAAATGATTGTTGCTTTGATATTGTGGGCTTACACAAACATGTAGTTACAGACAGGGAGCACAAAAAGAGACAAAATTAAAAGGAAGTATCTATACAATCCATCCGTTTTCATCCGCTTATCCAAGGTCTTAACGAGCAGCATGCTAAGCAAGGTACTCCAGACAATCGTCCAGCTCCTCCTCAGGGATCCCGAGACATTCCCAGGCTACATGAGACATATAATCCCCCCAGCATGTTCTGGGTCTACCCCTGGTCTCCTACCCGTTGGACATGCCCAGAAAACCTCTAACAGGAGGATCCTGATGAGATGCCCAAACCATCCTAACTGGCCCCTTTCGACACAAAGGAGCAGCGGCTCTACTCTGAGCTCAGTGGCGATTGCTCTAAGACTGCAAGGGAAGCTCGGCTTCCCCTAAAATGTCAAAAAATAAGTGGTCAAATATGTACTGTTGTGTTTACATTTCATTGACTAAATATGCGCTAGAACGTGTTCAACTTTTGTTCAGAATCAGCTACTTATCACAGGTCACTGACGCGACTTTCTTCTCATTCATTCCCACAGCATCACAGTGCATTAAACAGTGGAAGCTCAGCGTACAAAGACTTAAATGGGGAAGCATAGAGTGGGTTGTTCCACTGCAGCGAAACTAGACAGTCATTGGATAAATGCTCGGTTTTGTCCCGCCCATCGGACGCTCAGCGTCTCTGGGGGTCTATGGGGCAGTGGGCTGGCCTCGGCTGGCCTGGATGCTGGGCTTCTGCATGATGATTGGATGATCTGTCTGAGGCTGAATCCCTTTTTGATTGACAGCAAAATGAGCGAATCAGCGATCTTGAAATATAAACCACCACCGGAGCATTATTCAAGTTTCATTCCATTGTACCAAGTTGATCTGGAGACTTTTCCAATCCTCTTAGTGACTTTTTCTTTGTTAAAAACGACAAGCGACAAATCTAGCATCTTTTTCTGGTGTTATTGGAGACTGTACTCATGTTTGGAGACTCTGACTTCTGTCGCTCTGCAGTTACTGTCCCCAACGAGCAGCGGGTGCTGTGAGCCCCTCAACCGTCCCAAAGCACTCACAGGCGGTCACACTAGCCTTGCGCAGCAGCCCCAGAGGGTAGAATTTACGTATAAATAAACTGACACATTTTATGATGTAGGCCGAAAATGAGCTTCTCCTCCTTGAAAGACCAGCAGCCGCCACTGTCTGAGCTCCCTCCCAATGTCTGAGCTCGTCAGCCTATCTCTAACGCCCAGTTCAGACCAAAGATTCGCGATGAGACAGAAACTGTTGCAGGGTTGTGAACTGGATGGTTTCAGCTCAACTCAAGCCGGCTAATGGTGTCACCTGCGACTCAGGTTGTCAAGTTGCCAGCAGCTGGTTTTTGTCTGTAAATCCACCACTTCCAAGCAGAAGAGAGAAGATCACGTTATTTCAGAGCCCTACGGTGCAAAGTTTCTCCTCATCTGTGCTGCTGCATCACGTCCCCAAGTGTCTATACCAAAGAGTAGCCTGAAAGTCAAAAGCGCTCACAACCCAAAAACAAAATCTTAGTCAACTCAGGGGTCTCCGACTGATGATTCGAATCTCCAACTTTCAAGGGGCAGCCCTACTCCACTACATCCTACATTTCCCATAATGCAACTGAGGACTGGCGTTATAAAATAACTTTTCTTTTGTACTTTCAAACTTTGTAAAGCTTGTCTGGAGCCACAGATAACATTATGCAGTGGTTTCACAGTGTGAACACTGTACCTCATGATGAGCAAACTGACGCTTAAAATGGCCCTTTAATTATTTTCTTTAAATTTATTTAACGATAAGCAATTTTTCTGATGCCTGAATTTTCCACCTGTGTCTGGATCAATCGACAATGGTTGAGCAATTCAGAGAGAAAAATGAAGCTAGAAATGAGCTGTGATAAGATGCTCCTGCTCCCCAGTGAGGCTCATGTTAAGACCTTTGTCCATCTCTGCTCATCAGGAATTCATAGGTAGAATAATCCCTCCCCTCATAATTGTTTCATGACTGTCTCCCCGCTGCCCCGGTCACTCTGCGCTCACTCCAGTGTTTAGCATTCAGCTGCTACTAAAGATGTGAGCGTCCAAATGAATGTAGCGATGCACAGGGCCACAAAGAGCACTAATCTGAACTGACCCTGGTGGATTGTTCCGGAAAGCTGAGGAAGCTACGGGACAGATTAGCCTCCAGAAAGACAGAGATGGTGCAAGCAGAGATTAGTCGTGTACTAAGCAAGGATCGTTTCCCCCCCAGAGGACCACACACTGACAGTGTAGCCATGTCACCATTGTCTCTAAGCCACCGCTGCTGTGGACTCCTTGGCTATTGTCTCCGAAATCCTCCAGCGTTTCCCCAAAAACCTGGACTCAAGCCCTTTGATTGGCACTTGTCAGAGCTGATAGAGAGGGTGACGTGTTGGGAAAGGCTTCGATAAAGGAGCCCTGAAAGGAAAATCCCCTCCCCATGAATAATAAATTGGCGAGGATTTTCCTTTTTACTCCGCCCCGCTCCTATTCTGCCATTCTTTCAGCAGATAGAGGAGTGAAGGCTTTGGGTGGCATCAGTGAATAGCCTCGGCACGCTGATTGTCTCCCTGATGCTCATCCCTTTCTCAAACATGCAAAGAAAGAGATACAAGTCCAACCTTCTTGCCTCTGCCTGCTGCGCTGGATGGTAAAGGGCAGGCAGTGTGTGTGTTGGAGAGAGTCGGACGAAGGGTGGGCGGCGAATGCGTGTGTGTGTTTATTGTCTTCGGCGGCCTTTTCGAGATCAGCTAGGGGATTTGACTCGGCCGCTCGCAGCCAAATCCAGCTATCTGCTGTGTTCAGATGCTGTGGTTGGTATGGTAACCTGCTCTGTGTGTTTTAGATGGGCTCTTGTTTCCAGCTTGAACTGACCAGTAATCACTGCTGTGCATTCATGGATTAGGCCATGTTGGAGGTTAGGATAGGAGCATTTCAAAAGGAGGAAATAAAATCCTGAATAATTTTAGTTGTGGTTTCACCCTGCTTTAAAGATTGTACATTAAAGAAACTGACTGAACATAAAGATTTTAACCAGCACCTAAATTATTGGTCAGCTTACTGATTAGTTGCAGAAAAATGGTTATCAGCTAATTTTCTACTTGATTAAATGTGCTAAACATTTGATGTAACAAGCTTCTAAAGTGTAAGGATTTCATTGCTTTTCTGTTTAGTATCTCTGCAAAATTAAATTTCGATTCTTTGATCAGACAAACCAAGCAATTTGAAGACGTAACCTTGGTACGGTGGCCCTTAACCCCCGTTTCCACCAAACACTATCAGTATGGTACCTTTGGAACCAACAGTAACCCTTCAGACATGGTACCTAGACCCTAGTGTTTCCACCACAAACAGTCCTCTTAAATGTGGGCGGGTTGTTGTCACTCACTGCTCCGTCCAGCACTCAATGTATTTCCTCCTTTATCAGTCTGCATCTCGTTTATCGTCCACAGAACGAGGCTGCTCGCCGATGTTTTCAGAACAAAATAGAAATAGAACAATTGCTGTGGTATCGTGATACTACTCAGAACCGTGATACTTTCACTGGTATCGTACTGTGGGTCCCAATTTTGGTACTGTGACAACACTAATATCTACACTTGCTGTACACGGTGTATATCTTGAAAAACAATTTAAAAAACAACACTTACTGATGGATTAATATCAGTCTGTTTGACCTTCATCATGATTTACCTGTGTCGTGTTTTCTTAAGTTGCGGAGGCTTAATGCAGTGCAGCTTAAGAAAACAACGCAGTCTGTGATGGTTTTATAAAGCACAATTCATCGATAAGTTGTAAAGTGAAAAAAATTTAAAATGAAAGACAAAATGTAGGTTTCATTTAAATGTTATTTATGATGCGTTTAAGAAAAGTTTTGATTTTTGAAAACTATTATCTTCACATCACATTCATCATGACGTCTCCGTAGATATTTGCTTTGTGTTGCATATAAAAAATCACCAGAAATGATGAATTCTACGCTCTAAAGACGAATACATTTCTCGTCCCGTCATCTGTCATCTGTGACATTGAGACTTCAGCGGGACGTGGAGGCTGATGGAAGCGTGTGATTGTGTGCAGTGTGGCGGAAGACGGCCTGTCAAATGAGACATGACTCCATCAATCTGGGCTGCTGACCTCTGTGCGCTCACTGACGGGATAAATGAATCCACCACGTTTGAAAGGCTTGCTGAATCTCGCTGCCTGTCAGCTACTCGACTGGTCAAGCTTTCTCCTCCTAATGAATGGAACCATCTCCAAATGTATCACATTTGAATTATCACTCATGCGCTAACACAAGTAACACTCCCGTTTGCAAAAGTAGAAGAAGAAAAGAGTCCAAAACTCTAATGGAGACTGTTGCGAAAGATAATCAGAGCCCTCTTTAAGCTCAAGTCTGCACTGATGGAGCTCTTTGTCTCTGCTCTGCTACACCAAGACGTGTATTCTGTGGACTCTATATTCAGAGATAATGGGACTCTTAATTGGCTGGTCAGTGACAAAATGAATGGCTGTTTAGGTTTCAGGGAGAGCGTCCGCCCCTCAGAGAGCCTCTGAAAGGACTGAAGGGAGATGTGACTGTGGCATTTAGGACAACAATGTGATGAGAATTAGTGTTTATTAAAGGAGCTGAAATGGGTTTTAGTACTTTTTACCAAGTGGCAACTTCCACGTAGACGACCATGAATACAAATGAAGCTTTTCATGTTCAGGACTGTGGTGATTAAAGTCTTTAATTTCAAAAACGTAACCCTGTACTAAGCAAAAGACTGCGAGATCAAAGACTTAATTTGATTTTTTGTGGTGTATCTCTCTGCTCCAGGTTCCAGCACAGATGAAGGGAGCCCAACTGAAGACGGTTATCCAGGATGGAGGGACCGAGAGGAGTCCTCAGCTGGAGGCACAGGGCCCGAGAGTTTTGACCACAAAGCTGAAGAGAAGGACAGAAGGATGGAGGAGAGGAAAATGAAGGTGCTGAACATGCTCTCCAAACTGCAGGACAACACGCCTCGTCAGCCAAAAGGCAGCAAAGGTTGCTCCAACTTCGAAGACTGTGAGTGAGATTATTTACGATACGATACGATACGATACGATGCGATACACTTTATTGTCCCTGTAGGGAAATTTGTCTTGGACTCAGGAGCTGCACAAGTATTGCTGCCTTACAATAATAGTCCAAAAGAAATGAAGCAGTACATCATCCATTCATGTAGTGCTCACACCAGCACACATCAGAGTCGACTAGAGCCAGCTGTTGATCTTGGGTTGTACGTCAACTTTTTTCCACACGGCACTGGTGCAACAGAAGTTGAAACTTTTGTAGTACATGCCACAAAACTGTAGCACGTGTGTAGAAGTATCAAATAAGTCCATTGTAGTTTGACACTGTCCTAATTTTGGTTCGGAGGGAGTCTGAAGCCCAGTTCAGACCAAAGATTCGCAACGAGACGAGTTTGGAAACAGGCAACTACTTGCAATGTGCCGTTCTGTAATGTTCTAAAAACCTGCCAGTTCACACCAATGCAACTAGATGAGATGGTGTATCATCTCTATGCATCTTCGGTTTTGATTTTCAGGGTTATTTTTGATAATAACCTTTAAACTAAAATGACTCTCTTTAATAAAAAGGTCTATCTCTGTAAGGTTTCTTTCCATAATGTTGTAAGACACTTGTAATAATCTGAGCATGTCACTTTCATTGGACGTACATTGACGGTGCATAATTGACCCGAATGGTTACCTTGCAGCCTGTTGTATAGCAGCCCTCTTGGTCAGTACCGGACCGATTTAAAATCTTTGTTGTGTTACTTGACTGTTAAAAATCACCTCGGCAATGTTTGAAGGCTGAATTTGTCTCTGCCTGCCAACACTCTTATTTGCTTCCTGCTCACACAATAGGCCATCCGTGGAAAAACACAAACACGCGATGCATTTACCAACACTCCTCTCGACTCTAAAAATTTCCCTCAATTACAGCACTTGATTTTTTTTTTTTTTTTTTTTTTAGAATTGCCTTTTTTGCAAACAGGAGTTTAGCCAGGAGTTCTCCAGTTTCTCTCAAGTGCCTAATTTCTGGCATCCAAGCCTTTGTGAGAGCGCTGGGGCCGGCGGGTGCGACAATAAGCATCCACACCTAAGGTCAAGGCTGAGAGGCCGGCCCTCTGCAGAGGTCAGTGGGGTCAGAGTTCTCCCGTGAGTGCTGGCACCCAGTGAATGGGACTGATTGGACAGGTTTGTTCAGACGGTAATCAAGCAGGCTGAAGAACCCTGCAGCTGGCCTCACTATTCTGCAGCAAGGTTATTACTAATGGAAAGCTTTTGTTGTGTTACAGGAGTATGGATTTTGGTTTGTGTGTGCGTGTCCTTGTGTTCATGTAAAAACTAGGTTGAGAGTCACATGTGACAGCTTTGCAATGATGTCAGTATTTGGGTTGTCTTTGCATCTTTAAGAGGTGTTTATCATGCTATGTCTTTGGCCATGGGTTTGTGATAACGATAACAGCACTGCTCCTGGTGATGACGGTCTGTTGGAGGATCCATCTCCTCAGTTCAGACTGAATATCTCAACAACTGTCGCATGGATTGGTGTGATATTTTGTACGGACATTCATGATCCCCAGAGGATGAATCCTTATGATTGAAAGAAGTATTTCACTGCTAGAAAGATGGCCTTTTAATGAAACTAGGACATCTGTACAGTAAAAAGACGCAAATAATTTTGGAATTGGTGCTACAGAACTAGAGAAAATGGACACTTTTGCTCAAAAAGGAGAAAACCTACAACTACCAGAATGCACTGCGCCACACTAGACCAATAAATGCTCCCACTGGTACGTGATGTAATGGGAACATATCTGTTTGAAACAATGGCGGCTGGTTGGCAAGAAACGATCTCGTATTACAGTGTAACAGTAAGCGAAAACATGTTTCTGAAAACATTTGAGGCAAGCCAGTGACAGAATCTTGGTTCAAATTTGATCAGCGCTGCTTATGTTTATCAATGAATAGCATTTGCTATAAAGGTTTCTAATGGATTAAGTTCAGGTTGGGTTTAAAAGACGTGCAACACAATTCCTCATAATACTAGGAGTACAATGATGTGTCAGTGTGTGTTTTGTTTTCGGGTGTGGTGTGTTTACAAAGTGTGTCCGCATACAGTCCATTATTTTCCACTCCTAAATGCTCACCAGGGTCCTTTTGTTTTGTCGTGTGTGTGTCCTTGTACACACACAACTGCGGTTTCTGTGCTCACAGAAGTGTGTGTGGTGTGTGTGTGTGTACCTCTTGTCCAGACACTTGTAACTGTGGCCCCTCATTAGGCTCTGAAAAGGCCTAACTGGTCATAATTGTCTCTTTTCAGTCCAACGTTGACCACTTGCCAAAGGATTCCCAAAATAGAGCCCACACACACACACACACACACACACACACACACACACACACTCTCACACAGACACACACAAACGCCTGTAACTTCCTGTACTCTGCCACCGTCCATCTATTCAACTCTGTGACCCTCCTGGTTGTCATCATCAGTCAGCGGTCGCTGCCATGAGGCTCGTGTTTGGAGTTAACAGAGAATATGTACTCAAGCACAAAGAGCAGATGTAATTATGTTTTCAGAGCGAGATGAGTCTGTCAGCCAGGCTTGCAGTGTAAATTTATATATTGACTTCATCAGTGAGTTCATACATAGAACTTTTAGTCGCATATCCGTAAATTTTTTGAGCAAAAAAATTGAAATTGTAAAAACTGTAGGTGATGTGATTATGTTGCATACTGGAAGATAAGCACTCAGTCTGAAGTTGTATCTGTAAGATTCCTTTAATTTCCTTATACAGTACACCACATGGTCCATACCTTGTACAGTGTTGGAAATACAAAACTAGTTGACTCAGTATAGGCTGATGCTGTTTTGCCACTCTGTTCTTGACCAGCTCGTCTAGGTCAACGTTTCATATTTGTGTGCTGGGTGACAAAACTGCACCGTCATATGTCCTGTCAGACTCACTCTGTCATTCCCAGGTTGGACGGTTAAAACGGCTCTCACAAATTAAGTAAGACAGCCAAACGACTGGGTGATAATTCAGTATTTTAACTTTTTGGCTATCAGCACTTGGCTATATCTGTACACACTAAGAGAACGCGTTCACAATGAACTGAACGCATTCGTCCATCTATCCATTTTTATCTGCCTGTCCAGGGCTAAGTCGCGGAGGCTGCAGGCTGAGCAAAGTACTCCACACATCCCTCTCCCCAGCAACATTTTCCAGCTCCTCCTGGGGGACCCCAAGGTCTTCCCAGGCCAGATGAGATATGTCATCCCTCCAGCGTTTTCTGGGTCTGCCCTGGGGCCTCCTACCAGTGGGACATGAACTTTGTTAACTCTCAAAACAGTTTACAAAGCTCACACACTGTATTTTACTACATCTGAGGATTTACAGCACCCAGAATGCTGCTGTTGAACAGTGAAGACTGCTACTCGTCAATATGGGTTTCCCTTTACTTAAATGTGAACCAAACCTTTTCCTCTGTGAATCTTAACAGGAGGGAAACTCTACTGGACAGGGAACGGGCTTTGACTCAAGCTAGCTGGCTAGTGCAACAGGCAGTTCAGACAAAGTAGCTGCTGGTAATGCTGAAGCCAGTTCATATAATAATAATAATGCATTTTATTTATAGACATTCAATAAAATGACTGGACAAAAATCGTAATTATAAATATTAGGTATAGAATCATCATCATAAAGTCATCATCAGTCAATATTGCGAATGTTGAGGGGGAGAGAGTTCCTGAGATGGTGGGCAGAGCGGCTGAAGGCTCTAGAACCCATAGTAGGCAGCAGGCCGATGGTGATATGAGTAGGATTGCAGAAGAGGATCTATAGCCCTTTTTAAAGAGGAGTTGTGTAAATTTGCAGGAAAGCCCAATCAGTCTTTTTTCAGCATTGGCAGTATAAAAACAAAATTGGGGAGTGCAGCAAAATGCCGCCTGCCTACTTTTGTTTATACAGAATGCGCCTTTTTCGGGGCAATGGGGGGCGTGAGTACGTAACAAAACGTGTAGCTCAGCGTGCGACGTAAACAGTGACGTGGGAGGGAAGCCGCGGCTGGTCAGTCCTTCAGTGATTCTCTCATAAGTCGGCCCGTTCTTCACCGTCCCCGTCATCTGACGGTTAATGGCCTCTTCGTTTGCGAGGACAAGGACGGCGCGCAATTCCTTGTCTCCCCAGTTGCTCATCTTTACAGTGTCTGTCAGGTTTGTGTTTCCCTCTTGCTACTAGCTGCTCACTAATTCCTGCCATCAGCTGTTTCCTGTTTATCCACCGCCAGTGGGTTGCACGTGCAGCGTCATCAACAGCTCCTCCCACAAGTCTTCAACAGCCCCTCCCGTGGCGGAAGGCCGCCTCATTCTTTTTAAACCAAAAAGGTTCTGCCAATATGTCTACCCTACGCGGTGGAAATTTGGGCACCTCGGATCAACTCGCCAATCCAGCTCTGTGTGTCCAAACGCTCGCAGCTTGCTGGCAAAACGGCCCAACATTCGCGGAAAATCTGGCAGTGTAAAAGGGGCTTAAGAAGGGAGGGTGTTTAGATATGAAGGGGTTCAGACAGGTAGGAAGGGGCTTGGTTATGAAGGGCCTTAAAGGTGAGAAGCATATGAATATTTGAGCATATTTTTTTGTGATAAATTATAGATTCCAATTGAAAAAAAACCTCACGTTTTTATTCAGATTGTGCCCGCCAGGTCTGAAAAAACAAGTCACAACGTCAGCCACATCGACAGCTAATTTCAAACAACACACTGAATTGAAGCTTTGACCAGTCTTGTGGAATATTCGCAAGTGACTGATGACTATTTGAGACTGTGACCTCAGTTTAGAAATTCAAATTGTGAACTATTAACTTGAACTTGTTCATTTTAATTAGTGTGAACTTAACTTGGAGCCAGCTCTTGTGAAGTGTGAACATGCACCACGCTGTCTACATTACCTAATTCTCATATCTAGATATGGTTGATTATAAAAAGTACTTCAAAGTCCAGTTTTGCCT